TCTGCAGTGTCTCCCAGACTCTGTGCACACTTGCATGTCTCTATATTACTGATTGATTAGCAACAAATTGATTGAAGCTGAAAGGGTTTATAACACTAACTCACTTTTCACCATTTCCACACTTGTGTAAATCCTCCCGCCACCCCCTAGGACACCAGCCAGGTTCATTTCTGCCACTGCTGGCTTTCATTGTCCATGTTGCCACACCAGCGCAGAGTGACAAAGCCCTGTGTGGCCTTCTCAGAAAGGCCAGCCTGCAGTTCATGAAAGCTGACACAGCACCTTGTGCAGGCACTGATGAAGGTGCACACCGCAGGAGCATCAGCGCTGCGTGCCCTGGCTTGGTGCATTAGAGCTTCAGCAGGCTTGGGCTCTGCCTCGCTGAAGCCTCCTCTACTGGAGACTGCCATTTAAATGTGCTAGATGTGCAAGGAAAGCCTAGAGATGCCCCTTGCTGTGCTTGTGAAAGAAGGTGGGGTTTTACCATCCTCTCTCAGCTCTTTGCGCTAAAAGATGCTTTTGCAGGAAATGTGTTTTGTGGACTAGTTCTTGGTAAACCAGATGGTATTCACGTGTTCATCTTTTTCCTATGTGAACTACACATTGTGATGTGAAGAAGATGCATGTTGGCCCAGGCATATCCACTCCTTAAGAAGACAGCAAGATTTAGCAGAGGCCCAAAATTTAGAGACGGTTTATTTGCTGAAAGGTCAAAGGGAGATAAAGGAAAAGGAGCCTGGGGGAGAGGAGAAGATAGATCTTTCAGTGCGTATCTTTCAGCCCACACAGCCATGTTATCAAATCCGTGCCCCGAATCTGCAAACTATTAGTCAGGGATGGACTCTGCTGCCTTTGCTGGAGGCTAAAGCCAATATGGATGTCTGGAAGTTTTGAACTCAGTCACCTAAAACAGGATGTTGTAACTAAGATATTGTAGAACAGGCTGTCCAAATCGGCTTTTATTCTTGTATGTAACTTCACCATTTTTAGAGAAATAACATTCCTCTCCTTTCTTGTCCATCTTCTAATGGGGGTTGCTTACCCAGTAGAAACACCCCCGACTTCCCCAAGGAAGCCTCTAAACATGTTCCTCCCAGAACTGTGCAAGACGACGACTCTTTTGTCTCATCTGTCTTACTGTAAAGTCAGCCACCCCTTGATTACTGAAATTTTTTGATCAGCTTTGACTGTGGAGCTGATCACAAGTGTTCCTGGCACCCACTACCTCTGCTCTGCTGGGAGTGTCAGCAGACATTTGATTGACTACAGAGATTTGAGCACCAAGGGGATTCAAAGTGAGGCATAAAGTAAATCACATCTCGGGCCCTTCACGCCTCCCTGCTCCACCTGCCAGTGCAGGCGGGCTGCTGGCAGAATGGTAGTTCGAGGCCTTTGCTAATGCAGTGTGTGCTGTAATTACTGTAAGGGTAATTGTGGGGAAAAAAAAAAAAAAAGAAGATCTGCCCACTGCAGTGCAGTACAGCTTGTCACCTGCAACATGGGTGGTAAGCCCTTGGGGACAAGAACATTTCGCAAGATGCAATGTAAGGACAAGGTGCAAGAGGGGCTATTAGTTCAAATGAAATCCTGGAGATTGGCTTTGGTACGACAGTGATGTGTGTGGGAGGCATCTTGTGCTGCTTATCTCCTGGATACTGGTGCCGTAACAGAGGGCTGAGGGTTTCTTTCTCCTTGCTCTTGCCAAAAAAAGCAGAGGCTCTTGCTTAGGAATCCGTGCTCATCTGCAGCTGTTTGCCCTCCGCAGCTCCCCGGTAATATGGTTAGCTGTTTCTGGGTAGTCTTTTCTGTTTGCATTCTTTGAAATGAAAACAGTGATTTTTGGTTGTGGACAAAAGAACCGTGCTGGCTTAAGGCATTAATTTAGGTGGATTTTACTATATTTCTAAGGAGCATAAACTGTTATTTGGTGTCCTCCCTTTTCCCTAAATAAAAATGTATGTGCTTTCCTTTAAAAATATATTTTGTGCGTAAGTCGCATAGTGATAACATTAAATGCAGTATAAAGATGGTAATAAAACTGGTTGTAACATTTATATATTTTTCATGACCAAAGTGCTTTGCAGTTGGAGATGCTATAAATGCATGCTTGCCGCTGGAGGAAGCGACACACTTACACTGCAAAAGAGGAAAGCTGCATGACCCCAGCACCTGGTTCTTCTGGGCACAGGAGGGGCTGGCAGCTCTCTAGGACAAAACAGGGGCTGAGGCATCTGCCTGGGCATGCTGTGGCCACGGGCATCTTGGGTGTCTGTTGTTGAGTAAAACGCTGTGGTGGACAGGGTGGAAAATACTGCTGGGAGGGGGAGGAGACCCCACACAGAAGCATGCGTTGATGCAGCGGAGGAGGAAGTGGCTGTCCCTGATCCCATCCTGTTGTGTCTCGGCTCTGCTGCTTCCCCCTCTCCTTTCAGCACCAGAGGCTTCTCCGTATTGGGATCATGGTGCTCAGCAACACCCAACCTGCTCAGAAACCCTGGGTTGTCTGGGTGCACAGTGTACTCTGAGAGGAAAAGCAGGTAAAAACAGAAGGAAAAGGGAAGAATAGGGAAAATGCTGCTATTGACATTTTCCCTGGGGTTTTCTGGTGGGTTTTTTTTGTGCATCTGATCTGTTGGAACAGGATGAGGCAAATTCCAGGCATGCTGACTGCCCTCTAGCCGTACCTTCCAAAACAGCCACATCCTGCACAATCATGTCCTTTTATGGGGACTTTTTTTCCATGGGGAGCACGGCTGTTCTGCCTTCCCACCCTGCGGCCGAGGGCCCTGTGCCTTCCCTGGATGCTGGTGAGCTCGGGGAGTGTGTGCCAGAGCCAGCCGACCCTGTCACTTCCACTTATTCGCAGTGGACCCCTGTGTGGCCACAGAAGGCGAGAAAGAGATGAAGCGCTTAGTGCAGCTAATCCTGACTGCAGCACCCTAATGAATGTCACGCACCAGTTGTACAGAAACCACTAGAGCATGTGAACATCACCAAACAGTCAGCCATGGAAAAGTCTCTAAATTGCTCTCCATTAGGGGGCATTCAACATTTGCACAGGCACAAATCTGCAAAGTGAATTTTTTTTTTTTAAATATCCACTGACTTTTACAGAATATGTACAATGAATATTAAATAAAGGGCTGATGTTCCCTAAGTCATTGCCCATTACCGCACTTCAGATGCCATTATGTGGTGTGACTTTTAAAAACTTTTTTTTTAAAGGTCACGCTGTTTATACTGCATAATATATAATAGAATTCCACTGTAAATTAGAAACATACTTTACAGCCTGCTGCTGTGCTTCATGGAGGTGAACAAAATTTGAAATCATGGGTCTCCTCTTTGTGGAAAAGCAGTTGTGGGAAACATTTTAATATCTCCATAATCGGAGGCTTTATAGACTAGTAATGAGCTACGGAGGCCTCTCTAGGACACCTTGCTGCATCTTCTGCCTGCTCTTTAGCCTCTCCAGAACATTTTCCCAGTCTTGACACTCTTAAATTTGATTTTACTTTACTATTATAGGAAGTTTTGGGTAAACTGTAACATTACCTAACCCACAGCCATTTCCTTTAGCTACAGATGATATGCTCAGCCCTGACAGCTTTCCCTCCCAGCAGATAAGCAGAGCTGACTTTCTGTATGTAGAAATGGTTACGTGCCTGTTCAGTCCCTATGTACACTAACTCTGTGGAAGGATTAAGTATCCTATTGCTCTTTAATAAAGCAACTTTCAAAAACACTGTCCTCTTTCTTTCCAGGTAAACCACAGCATAGAAACTGGATTTTGAGGGACATGCAGCCTGATTCCAAAATTCCCCCGTGACAGCTCTTCAGGGAGCCAGAATCAAAGGTACGCAAATGAGTTAAAGATGCTGTCTTTGATCCTTATTTAAAAAAACTTCAGGTCACGCATTGCTTCAGAAGGCAGAATACACAAAAAGGAGAGTAGCCACAGGGCACAGAACCAGACTGCACAAAACCACTGAAAGGTACTTTAGTCTCACTTTGCTGTGGAACACCTAATATGGTTGAAAAGGTATGGGAAGACTGTTGAGAAAATACATTGTCTGATGCCAGTGTGACGGAGATGCCAAGTAAAGGAATTAAGCAAATAAACAGGGCTTCAGAGAGGTGTTAAGAGATGCAGGAACAGTAACATGAGGAAATTGAGAAGCTGATTTCTTCCATCTAGGGGTAGAAGTCATAAGCCTCGCATGAAATGGAAGTTACATGCTGCTTTGAGAAGTATGGAAGAGAACAGAATTTCACATTCACCAGGTCTCTTACCAGAGACTGGTATATTCTGAGAATGGTATTTGTATGAAAGGGGCAGGCCAGGCTACAAATGGAAGCCTGTGTTACTAAGTAAGCACTTGCTACCAAACAGCTGCTGGCTGGATGGCACAGGCACGGGGACTCTGGGGGTCGCAGAAGCCGAGGGGCAGCACTGAGCGGTGTCTCTGAAGCCAGTTACATCCAGTCATAATGAACTTTACTGCAAAGGTAGACCTAAACCAAGGTACCGTCCTAATATATCCTCCTGGGAATATATTCCTGGTCCCTGTATTAGGCATACAATTTCCCAGAATACTTGTGCATTATTACTGAGTTAGCAAAAGGCAATGTTAATGTTTGTAGGACTGATTTTTTTATTAGAAAGTAATATTTTGTGTTTAAATATACTATCAACATGGTCTGTAACATACTAAAAATGCCTTCAAAAAAGCAGAAGAAAGAAACATTTCATACACAGGCACAAATTAGAGAGTTAAAACAATTCAGTTTCTCCGCTTTCTGTGCTAGGACATGGATAACAAATTATTTTCAACTGTCAACCTATGAAAAGAAACTTGGTCAAAATTTCAGGATAAAATATTTTACCAGTGAAAACTCTGATATTTCTATAATGTTCTTGGTCAACACATCTTAAGGTGTACTTAAAATGACAGATTAGTGAGAATGCCCCCAGTTATTTGGTGCACGTTAATTTCATGCAAATATTCTATTTTCCACTGAACGTTGTTAAAATACAGGGCAAAATCTTTAAAGGTAAGCAATCAAGGAACACCCATACCACTACGGACTACCAGGGTGAGCATCACCTCACAAGCGTAGGAAAAGAACAGACACAAAGTTCTTATTTCTACTCTACGGGAACAGCATTTACGTATTCCACCCAATGATCTTATACATCAGTGCCCTCAAAAGCCTGGCTTCATAGGTAACTGTATTTTTTGCACTGTGCATCCTCTTCTCTTCGAGGGGTTGCTCAATGACAGCTGGGATATTTCTTCCATACAGCTCACATTGCTTCAGAAACTGAATGCACTCTTGAATAACGCTGTCACGTAGCATGATCATGTGCTTGGACATGTTCTCCAGCAAGGACAGGAAACACCGTTTGGCGTAATACCAGGTATCAGTACCTAGTTTTTTGTTATACGGCTCCAGGCTTTTAATGACCCTTGAAATACCAAAGTCATAGTTTCCTTTCACACAGTAGAGGGTACCAATGACTAGATTGACAATGCAAAGATGGTAGATATTTTTATCAGGATTATCATAGGACAGCTGCTCTTCTCCCTTCTCGATTTTCTTCATCAGTTCCTCTGCATCTTCATTTTGGCTTGTCAGGATGTAGGAAACACAGAGGTTAGCTAACACAATGGCACTAACATGGAGAATGTTGTCATAGTGTTTTTTAACTATTGGCTCATAGAAGCTAATAGCCTCTTTATACTTGTTCTCTTGCATGAAGAGCACGTGAGCCACATTGAGCTTCCACACCTCGTGTTCGTTACAGAACTCCACCGATTTGCGGAAAATCTTTTCTACCATGGTGTAGTTCTTCATGTCCCAGTAGATCTTTGCCTGGGCCATCAAGACAGGTACATATTTATCCAGAGTCTCATCATACTCATTAACTGCCTTTTTTACAGCTTCATCATCCCAATTTTGCCTAGCTTCCTGTACCTGCTTTGTGAGTTTTCTCAGCTGCTCAGCCAGCATCCCTGCTGAATCATCTAGCTTGTGGAAAGCCTCTTCGGGGGCAGTTTGACAAGTAATAATGGCATCCAAGAAATTGTACAAGTAAGGTGTGAGCAGTTTGTACGTCAGGTGGGCATTCTCTGCCAGCACATCAGCTGCCAGGTCATAGTACTGATGCTTGCAATACAGGAGTAGTAAGTTTCCAAAAGTTTCTGGTGGACAGGGGTTCTGCAGCAGAAGAAACTGCAGTTTCTCAAATCCTTCAGTGGGCTGGCTGTCCATGTTCATTAGTGCTTGGTTGTGCAGTGTGACTGGATCCAACTCTTCTTCAGCCCTTGGAGGCATATCTGTGAGTGCCTCCTGGGCCACTTTCAGGTTGTGCAGTTGGTACTCAATGGCCGCTTTGAGGTTGAAGGCCTCCACCAGGGCCGTGCGGTGCAGGAGCAGAGTGTTGCCTACGCTGCGGACATCAATGCCCTCAGTAGTCATGCCCACGCTGAGCTCTGGGTGCTGGTTGATGCCACGCTCTATGATATCGGAGATGTGTTTGAGGGCAGGGGCATACTGCTTGGCTGCGTAGCAGCACAGCGCCATGTTGTAAGAAAGCTCAGGGCAGTAACCCAACACTTGCATGGCGCCAGAAAACTTGCTGCTGGCCTCTTCATGCCGCCCCTGCCGGTGACAGCAGGCAGCCCAGGTTGATTTCAGCGGCGGCCCGCTCTGATGTGTCCTCGGGTGCTCCGGGGCTGCCATCGGCAGCGGCGGTGAGCGCCTCCTCCACTAGGCTCTTGGCCGCCGAGAGGTCGCCCTGGGCATAGTGGATAGCTGCTTGGAGGCGGAGGGCCCGGCTCTGGTAGGCAGGGAGGTCCAGCAGCGGGCTGGAGGCCCGCAGGGCCTC